TACCAAGGTTTCTTTATCCATTCCTCTTTCAATGGGTATCTGAGCTGTTTCCATGTCTTTGCTATTAGAGATCAGGCTGGTGTAAACATAGGATTGCAGGTCACTTTCTTATGTGCAGATTTCATGTTCTTTGGATATACTGCCAGAAGTGTGTTAGCTGTGTCATGTCACGGATGAATTTTCTGTTGTCCTAGCACTCTCCATGCTGACTTCCATAGTGGCTGTACCAGCCTTCAGTCTCACCAACAGGGAAGTAGGGTACCTTTCTCTCCACATCCACCCCAGTACTCTATCTTCTGTGGGGCGAGTAATTCTTTCTTAAACAGACCATTTGAGAGGGAGCCTTTCTCATGATAGTCTGCTATATGAGGATGCAGGGAGAGGGCATTCTCAGAAGTTTATGCCGCTAGGTTGGAATTCCCAGGTACTAGACTATGAGTGAATAAATTTCTGCTCCTTATAGATTATCCAGCCCCAGTTATCATATAATGCAAGGATAAAATGCACTGAAACAATGAGATAGGTCGCTAAAATATGGTTAACACATATTTAAGTGAAAATAATTGGTGAAGCACACTGGTGTATTACAAGGACTCTTGAGTTTCACTGCATCTTTATGGAATATACAGTACCTGCGCTGGTTGTGTTCTCTTTTCAAGGCAATACAATAGAAGGTAGGATTGGAATCAGCAGACATGGCTTATAGGCTTGCTTCTATCAATTATGAATTATGTGATAATGGGTTAAAATGTTTCCTCTTTTGGCTGCAAAAGCTACCAATTATTAAATGTTTAGAATGTGCCAAAAACTTTCCTAGTTGCTCTCTCTGTGACTTAATCATTATAATTACTAAGGTGTGCCATCATCCCATTTCTATCAAAGGGAAAATTGAGGCTGACTTTTTGCAGCTGAAACTTCTAGTGAAGGCTGTTCAGAAGATGAACTTAACTCCACTTACCTCCAAATCCTGTGGAGTTAACTGCTGTGCAACACTGCTTCTCATAAGTGTACCAACTGAGAGGATGTATATCAGATCCTGGTTCTGTTTTCAGAATTCACAGCATAGGGCAAACATGTTAGTAACTCGTAAGAGGGCAGGTGAGTAAGCTCTTATTCTGCACTTTTCAGATAAAAGGAACTTAGAAGATGAAATAATTGGGATTCTCACAGTATCATTCAAGAAACTTAACAGCTTAAAACCTTTTATTTAGGGGCTCAGGATGGCAGCCTACTGGCCTTGTAAGCCCTGGGATCCCATATGGGTGCTGGCTGCCCAACTTTCCATCCAGTTCCCTGCTTGTGGCCTAGGAAAGCAGTTGAGGATGGCTCAAAACCTTGGAACCCTGCACCAGCTTGGGAGACCTGGAAGAGGTTCCTTTTCCTGGCTTCGGATTGGCTCAGCTCCAGCCATTGTGGCCACTTGGGGAGTGAATCAAGGATGGAAGGTCTTCCTTTCTGTCTTTCTTCCTCTCTGTATATCTGCCTTTCCAATAAAAATAAATATATATTTTTAAAAAACCCTTTTATTTAGTTTAGGATTCTGTGTATCAGTGTGTTTGAACTAGGTTTCATCTACATAGTGCTCCTGGACAGTTTAATTAGAAAAACGCAGTTCTGCCTTTGGGACTAGCCAGCCATTTTCTGGGAGTAGGGCTGAAATATATTTGCTGTTCTGAGAGTCCTTTGATTTATTTTAGATAAAGTCCTCTGAATTGGTTCCTATATTGTTTCTATGGCACCAAATGTGTACATTATATATATATATATATATATATACATATATATTTAAGAGTCTGAACTGTTTCAATTGTATCACAATTGAATTGAATTCCAAGCATGAAAGGGAATGATAGAGATGGTGGGAGAGAGTGAGAGAGGAAGAGAGAGAGAAAGAGGGAGAGCAAACTGCAACATATCAACCCTTTGAAACCTAGGCTTGGAATTGGTACATCATCACTTTCACTTAAACCACTGGTGAAAGCAAGTTACAAAGCCAAGGTGACACAAACAGACATGTTGGAAGAAATTGAAGTCACATAAAGATAATACCCTATGGGATAGGAATTTGTAATCATTTTAAAATATGTTATGAATATGAATATATCACTTTTGAGGGCAGATAGTATGTTTAAACCATTACATCAGACTTTGAAGGAATTTGTCCAAATGTTAAACTTTTCTAAGTATGTCATACTGGCAGTCTCTTTGGTTTCATGAGATCAATCCACATTGCTGGTGGTGATATAGTGCTCAGGTTCTATAGCTTTCTCTGATGCCATCTCAAGAATACAAAGGAAGCAGCATTTTAGGTGCTTCCCTACAAGGGCTAATGCCCACATGGTCTTTTAAATCCTTGCTCCACACAGGACACAAAGAAAACCATATGTGTTTTTTTTTCCTTCTCAGTTTTACATTGCCATCTTTCAAAGCTTTGCTTCTTTTCTCTTTTATCTGACTTTTACACAGGATCAGTGGAGTTAGTTAGCTGGAGGGGTTTTCTGTTCTCTCCTGTCTTACATAATGAAGCCTGGATACCTGGCTTAAAATATGTTTTTGATCAGAAAATAAGTAAATAAAAGAGACAGCATTTCATTCAGTGCTTTGTGTATGAATTATCTACTGGCATGTATATTTCATCAGTTTATCTTCCCACGTTATTTTCAAACTTACTTGGTGTGTTCCCTAATTTTAAATCTGAACTTTTATGAACCCCAAGAAATGCTGAGTTCTTCTAAAACACAGTCTTCCGAGAAATAATTATTCCTAGATAGCTTATATAAATTTGGGCCCAAGTTGATTGATTAGGTCTTGGAGCTCTCATTTCCCTCCTTAGTCCTTTGCCCCATTTCCTCCTTTCCTTTGGATTTCACTATAGACTAACACTAATGAAACTGATGACCTTCTCTGTTGCCTTCTGTTATCTGTATGTATTTCTATAGTCTTGTAATTATTTTTTTGAGGATTTATTTATTTTTCTTGGAAAGGCAGGTTTACAGAAAGAAGGAGAGTCATAGAGATCTTCCATCCATTGGTTCGCTCCTCAAAAGCTGCAATGACTGCAGCTGAGCCAATCTAAGGCCAGGAGCCAGGAGCTTTTTCTAGGTCTCTTATATGGGCGCAGGGTCCAAAGCTTTGGGCCTTTCTCTACTGCTTTCCCAGGCCATCAGCAGGGAGCTGAATGAGAAATGGTGTAACTGAAACAGGAACTGGAACCCATAAGGGATCTTAGTGAGCAGGAGAGAGAGGGATCTTGCATTTGATAATTGGTTGCCTGTGTGACTTCAGTGGTCAGGGCTGAGTTATGCTGAAGAGAGGAGCTAGGCACTTAAGCTGTCTTCCATGTGGGTGGTAAGTCTCCACACACTGGGGCCATCTTTTGCTGCTTTTCCTAGGCAATTCAGCCGGGAGCTGAATCAGAACTGGAATAGCCAGCACACAAACTGGTGCCCACGTGGGACACTGGTGCTTCACGTGGTGACCTAACCCCCTATGCCACAACACAGGCCCTGTAGTCTGGGAATTCAATATAAATACTTTATACTTAAATTAAAAGGGGAAATTTGTAGAAAGTGCTTTACACTTAATATGATCTCAATAAATATAATCTTACGAATTCTTCAGCCACTACTATTGCTACTGTTACTTTGTTTCAAAGCAATTCATAGGGCTTTTAGTTTCCTGAATGAATCTGTAACATTTAATAATATAAAGAATTATACCGACAATAAGGGGATATATTTTGCAATTTGAGTATGCTTCTTTATAATTTTTTGCCAATTGAAATTCACCATCAACATTATTTTTAAAAATGTCTTGGTGATTAGAAATTGTGCAACATTAACATCATTCTCTTAGTATTAAGCCTTATCCCTTTTTGTGCTTGCTAGCAGCTCAGGTGTTGCACCCACAGTATTATCTACATTACCATTGTATGTCCAGTATCCACCTGTAATTTCTTTCCAGATATATATACACACATAATCTTTTCTTGCATTTTCCTAGATATGAATGACTTTCCAAGGAACTTTTATTTCTTCATTTTAACTATCTGATAGTCATTGTAAGTGTTCCATTTAACGAATTGTTAATACTCCTGAACCAAGCTTGCAGTCCTCTATAATGCTAAAGGCTTCTTATTAATAACTCTTGCTCTTTCCAAAACCCAATAGCGGTATCAGTGTGTGCTTCACAAAGTCACCTCACTCCACACACATCCTGGTGTTTTCTCTTCCCAGCAGACTTTGACCCTCCTCCCATCCTCACTGTCTCTCCTCCAATCCCTGCGCCTGGGCCTTTCACATAAAAAATAATAATAATAATAATAATATATATTTTTTGAAGAACAGTAAAATTTGGACACAGAGACACAGTGAGCAGAGATAAAATGGTCTGAAGACACACAAGCAGAGGACGGCCAATCCATAAGCCAATGAGAAAACCCTGAGGAGGGCTCAACTACAGCACATTCACTAGGGACTTTTAGCCACTAGAACTGCAAAACCACGGAGGAGGGGGTACTCTGCTATGCCATCCAGCAAGCAAAAACAACACCCAACGGAAGCCTGGGAAAGGGAGAGATTTTCTGTGAGACTCTCTTGGGGACACAGGACTGTAGTTCCTCTTTTTACCTTCGGAGAAAGGAACCTGAAGTTTTACTTTCTAAAGTGCCATGTTCCTGGAATAAACTGCACATCCGTTGTTTATATAAACAACGACGTGGTGGTTGGAGACCTACATTGGACTGAAATGAGCAAGTGGTACCTGCATAACATACACAAGAAAAGCTCGATTCTCACCTGTAGGTAGTTGGTCTCTCCTGTTAGCAGTAGCAGCCACTGGAAAAATAAATAAATAAATAAATAAATAAATAAATAAATAAATAAATAAATAAACAAACAAACAAACAAATAAATAAATTCAGCAATTGGTCTCACTTGTTGGGAGGGGTGAGGCGTTGGGGAGAGAAAGGGCGTGGAGAGTGGGGTGTAAATAAGGCGGGCAGAAGCTCCTGAGAGGGTGGGGACAGAGCTTCAGGGAAGACAAATATATGAACCTGGTTGGTACAACACAGCTTCCCCAGACCCACCCACCCACCCTCCTCGCCGCGGGAGCTCCGTGCTTTTGGGGGCTGCAGGAGGCTGACGGCTGCTGGTGTAGAAGGGACAGCTCGAGCAGCGGCTGCTTGGGCGGAGGAGAAACCAAACCCTGCTGAAGGAAATGGGAACAGGGCGCCTTCACCTTCAAGCGGGTGAGCGCTCCTGACCTGCGACCCACAGTCTTCCCGCCCGCCCGCTCGCTCGCCCGCTCGCTCGCGGCGGGGTCGGGCAGCGCCGGCTGGACCCGCCCTGAGCTCCATGGTTTGCTCAGCCCTGCGCGATGGTGACTCTGGGCGCGGAGGCTGGCGACAGGAGAGCCCACAGACCTCAAAATGAAGGCGGGGAGCGAGGCGGCCGGCCCGCGGGGGCTGTCTCCCCGACCCCAGCGCCCAGGGAGGCGGCACAGCCACCCGAGCACGGGGAACGCCAACAAGTAGTTTCTCGTCAGAGACGGGCGGCTCAGCTGGGCGCCAAGACTCCTTCCCGCTGCCCTGAGAACCTCGTCCACCTGGAAACCAAAGCCGCACGACTTTTTCTCTCGGTCTCGCTAAGGTACCTGCAGCTGAGGAGGGCACGGAGAGGGAGAGGCTCCCTGGGAAAGGCTGCTGACCCCGCGGGCAGGCTTCCCCGCTCGCCTCCCCGCACGGGGGCTGTGCGGAGGGAGCCCTGGAGACAGGTGGCCGAGCGGCTGGACCGGCGCGCCGTAAGCCAGACCTCGGGCTGGGAACCCCGGCTGCGCGCCTCGCCCCTCGCCCACGGCAGCCCCCTCACCCTCACCCCTGAGGCGTTTGCTTTCCTGGGGAAGGGGGAGGGGAGAAGGGTGGGCATGTAACCATCACTTGTATTCTCAAAGATGGATCCGAGTTAGTCTTTTCCATTCTCAAGTAATAATAACAACAGTCACGGGAAGTCTTCAGTCAGGCGAAGAGGAAATGGGCTGAGGAGATTAGTCAGAGGGCCCCTTGGTGAAAGGCCACAGCGGGGGAACCTGCTTTGCCGAGACTTTTGTCTCCTTTCTGAGGGAGATGAGTGGTGGTCCCAGAAGGGGTCGCGCGCGGGGCACTCCCTGAGTGCTGAGGAGCACGGTCCGCCGGTCGGGGTGCCCGGGGGGTGAGATGGCATTCGGGGTTCCTGGGGGGCTCCCACCCAGCGCCCCCCTGTGCGAAAACTCGCCTGCCTGGGGGAAAAGTGAATCGGACTAAAAGGGATGGCTGGAGGGGGAAGTCTGGGGGCTTCCGAGTGCTGAAAGGAGGGATCAGACTGACCTGACCCCAGGGGCGAGGAGCCCTAGGGGCTTGGGAGAGGCAGCTACAGAGCTGGGAGAGAGCAGCGGGTTAGCAAGGAAAAGGGACGGAGCGCGAGAGGAGGGAAGAGAGCTCAGAGCCCTGGGAGAGAGAAAGGTGTCATGGACGAACCCAGAGAGCCTTGGACGTCCGGAGACCCGGGGAAGGTGTGGTGGTGCCAGGGGCGGGGACAGCGCCGGACGTGGGGGGCTCCTCCTGGGGACGTCCTCGGGTGCCTGCATCCTGGGACTCTGGGGGTGGGGTCGCGGTGCGTCCCTGTGACGGCCGAAATCTTTTAACTCGGCGCTGTGTTCGCCTCTTCCCCCTTCCCCAGTCATGTCTGAGCCACAGAGATGGGCAAGATCGAGAACAACGAGAGGGTGATCCTCAATGTCGGGGGCACCCGGCACGAGACCTACCGCAGCACCCTCAAGACCCTGCCCGGGACGCGCCTGGCGCTGCTCGCCGCCTCCGAGCCCCAGGGCGACTGCCCGACCGCGGCGGGCGACAAGCGACAGCCCTTGCCCCCTCCGCTCTCGCCACCTCCGCCGCGACCGCCCCCGCTGTCCCCCGGCCCCGGCGGCTGCCTGGAGGGCGGCGCGGGCAACTGCAACTCCCGCGTGGGCGGCGGCGGCGGAGACCACCACCCCGGCGGCAGCGGCGGCCGCGAGTTCTTCTTCGACCGGCACCCGGGCGTCTTCGCCTATGTGCTCAACTACTACCGCACCGGGAAGCTGCACTGCCCCGCCGACGTGTGCGGGCCGCTCTTCGAGGAGGAGCTGGCCTTCTGGGGCATCGACGAGACCGACGTGGAGCCCTGCTGCTGGATGACCTACCGGCAGCACCGCGACGCCGAGGAGGCGCTCGACATCTTCGAGACCCCCGACCTCATCGGTGGGGACCCCGGGGACGACGAGGACCTGGCAGCCAAGAGGCTGGGCATCGAGGATGCGACGGGGCTAGGGGGCCCCGACGGCAAGTCGGGCCGCTGGAGGAGGCTGCAGCCGCGCATCTGGGCCCTCTTCGAGGACCCCTACTCTTCCAGAGCCGCCAGGGTAAGGCCAGACTCGCCCCTGACTTGCTGCTCCAACTTCTTCCAGCTCCCTCCCCAACTTTGTCCCTTCCCTGCCTGGGCCGGTGGGGTAAATGAGGGCAGGGAGGGCGCGTGAAAGCTGAGTTTGGTGGTGAGTTTGTACTTTGTCCCAAGTAGGGTGCTTGCAGCTTAGAGAACCTGGCCTCCATCCTGCCACCCAGCCTATGCCCCAGCTCCTTTCTGCTAGGCACAAACTGAGATTTACTTTGGTCAACTTGTCTGAGTGCTTCCTTGGAGCCTTGTCCTAAAACCTGGGGATTTTCCCCTGCTCTTTTGATCCACATTTTCCCTTTTAGCTCCTTTCAGTGAGGCCTTTGGCTACTTTTAGTCTGACTCATCCAGGCCAGTGGCTTCCCTTAGGGGTCTAATCTGAGGACCCAGGGAGGGACAATGCAATCTGTCTATGTGACTGGGATGGAGGTAGTGTGTGCCTGGAGGTCCATTTGGTCCATTTTCTAAGCCAGAAGAAAGAACACGGAATAGAGTAGCTTGTCTGAGTGGGTTGACCAGAAAAACTCCTCTGCACACTGTAGCTTCCCGTCTGATGCATTTGTCTTGGGTTGTGCCTGTGTTCCTTACAGGTCAAATAGGAACCAGCCACGTGGTCAGCAGGGATTCGCACAATCTGAACAATTCAGATAGTAGCAATAGTGAACTTTTTATATTGTGATCTTTACATGAATTTTTCTTTTCGAGTTTCCAATTCTTCCAAATCCCATGAATGGATTATAAAAGTAACCAGGAATGTGTCTGCAGTTTAAAGGGGATAGAATAATTTTAAATAACCAAGACATTTCTCAGTCTGAGAATGCTACTTAATTGCATTTGAGAACAGAGTACAGTTTCTACTTACAACTCTGCACCTGCGTGGGTCTGGTTTCCTTCTGTTGTCCATCCTGAAGACAAACTGCCTGGGCGGAGTGAGCCTTCTCCTGGCTTTATTCTGATTTGTCGTTTCATGTTATCCCCTTGTGGATGTGATAGCCCCTACTCCTGAGATGTTAGACAGCTGTCCATCTAACTTGTCAGTTATGTTTCCGCTACACTTTGGAGATCTGCAGATGTGCGTTGTTTGCTGTGTGAAATAGGCTACGAGACAATTTAAAGTGCTGCTGGTCTCTTGGAGCTGACATTTAAATACATGGACTCTAGCGTCTCCAGTCACATATTAGAACACAGATTCCATCAATTCAACACTGAGATAATTCTTTTGGAACTATTCCACAGTGTGAGTTGACACTCAGAAAAAAAAAAGTGTATGTTTATTTGTTTTCAATCACAGGCTGCAGTCATTACATCTCTGTGTTTTGTTTTCCAGCTGAGTATTGTGGTGTTCTTTCCACCTGGTGGATAAAAAAAGATAATCTGAGTTTGTTTACAGGCTCATCATGGGGTTTTCTTTTGTCCAGGCCATGTACTATAAAAACAAATGCCTTTTTGTGTTACTTTTCATTATGATGCCATCCTGTTTTCTAGATGATATAGCTAGATGATACAGCAGAAACTTTAAGTAGGTATGCAACTCTTATCCTCACTGTGGAATTTGATTCTTTGCTTCAGTTGATAGTTGATCAAAAGGGTTGATCATTTACTTGAAAAGTTTGAATCAGATATGATTCATTGTAATAACACTGAAGTTTTGACCTGTCCTCATGTTAGGTGAGAAGACAGAGATTAGAGACTAACACAAGGTCAAAGAGAGAGTAGAAAGAGAATGAGCCAAGAACCAGACCTGAAAATCTTTGAGGTCATCTCCTCAGTATCTTCATTTTGTAGAAGAAAATGCCTGCAGATATCGAGTGATGGCCAAGGTCATATATCAAGCTAATAGCAGAGCCAGAATTGTGCTAGAGGTCTCATGACACTCTGCCCATTTGCTCTCCACCAAAACCACTGATTACAGCCTACTGGGTTGTACAATCTCGACAGGCCATATTGCTATTGAGATTTAAGGCAGCATTAAGACATTCAGTAAAGTCCTAACTTTGAAAGATCACTTTTTAAAAATATGCGTATTCTAGCCTGTTGGCTGATAGAAATTTACCTCACACTACTCAACCTTTGAATAAAAAATTAGGAATTTGAATTAATTTCTTAAGATGAACTCTGTTTTTCCTTTTCCTTTTTTTTATTGACCAGTCAATGCATAATGTTTTGCTTTCTTTGTGGGCATTGTTTTCGAGGAAATCACTTTTAGATGTACTAGGAATTTGCCTAGGAAAAAAGTAATTGAAGTCATTATTCTATTTAAAAGTGACTGAATATTTTATATGAACACTTTTAGTTCAGATGATGGCCTGGCTTAGTCTTATCTATTTTGATAAATTGAATTATATTGAGAGGCCACAGGGTGAAATTATGTTTTGCTTGGACATGCTTTTAGGAAATATGAGGGAATTGCCAAGTTTTTTTTCTTTGTGGTTTTATTGCCTTTAGAATCAGTCTTAACAGAAATTACTTAAAAATTCATACTTTTTAGAACCTATTAAAAATATTAGTTTGTCTTTTATTGAAGTCTTTATGAAGTGTTCAATACCCAGCTTAGTCTAATAAATAATGGTGCATATCATAAGCATGATGATATTAGAACTTCTAGAACTTTTGTAAGTTAAAAAATAATATAAGAACAAAATAAAAGAATCATAGAATTTGCTTCCAATATGAGAGCAGTTACCCATTTCTCTTCCTTTCCTTTCTTTTAATTTATATTTGTAGGGGAAATGTTTGAATTGTTTTATTTTAGAATGTGTGGGGTTTTTTTGTGTGTGATTTAAGCTTATTTTTGATTACTTGCTAGAAGGTTTTTTTCTTTTTTAACTTTTCTGCTCTTTAAAAGGATTTTACTTTTATTTACTTGAGAAGCGCGCACACACACACAAGTGGGAGAAGAGGTTGAGACAAAGAGAGAGGAAGAGAGAGAGTCAGAGCCAGAGCCTCCATGCCCTGCTCAGTCTCCCAGTGCGAGAGCTGCTCTGTTTGGGCCAGGAAGATAGGAAGATGCCTGGGAAAAAATTCAATCATGGTCTCACACATGATTATTTGAGCCATCACTGCTGCCTCCCATGGTCTTTATTAACAGGAAGCTGGATTTATTAGCCTCAGCTGCGTATTGATCACTAGTACTCCATTATGGGACATAGGATATCTCAGGCACTAAGTGAAACACCCACAACCTATTTTTTTTTTCTTTGAAATAGCATTTTTAAAAGGTTTCTTTATTTTTATTGGAAAGTCAGATATAAAGAGAGGAGAGACAGAGAGGGAGATCTTCCATCTGATGATTCATTCCCCAGATGGTCGCAATGGCCTGAGCTGAGCCAATCCAAAGCCAGGAGTCAGGAGCCTTTTCCGGGTCTCCATGTAGGTGCAGGGTCCCAAGGGTTTGGGCTGTCCTTGACTGCTTTCCCAGGGCACAAGCAGGGAACTAGGTGGGAAGTGGACTGTCACGACATGAGTCAGTGCCCTTATGGGATCCCAGTGTGTGAAAGGTGAGGATTTAATCACTAGGCTACTGCTTGGGGCCCTAAAGTAGCATTTTGAAAAATAAAATAAAAAACCATAATGATAGCTTCTAGAGAACCACCTTCAAGAAGGTGGCTTTTTGGCATGGAACAGAACCATTTCAAAGACATTATCCTGTTGTGCTTATTGTTTTTTTCATTCCTCTGTTCTTTATGTAATACACCATTATTATGCATCATACAACCATTCTAAATTATACATGGATTGAGATAGTGAATCTGTCTTTTTAATGCCTTATTTTATTTTTATTTTTATGTGACGTATGACAGCTGCACATACTTTTTGGGTACTGGGTGGTGTTCTGTTAGATGTAATATCAGTGGAAGTGGAGATCATGATGTGAAGTGAAGTAATCTAGCACATGAGGATAGCTTACTGCAGGATTTCACTGATGCGGGCTCTAAAAAAAAAGTTATAGTATTAAAGAAAAGGGTAGAATGGTGGTTACCTGAGGCAGGGGAGAATAGAGAGAGAAGGAATGGGAGAAGGCTGGTCAGTAATTTCTAAGATAAGGTTACTGAGCCAGATGTCTTAGATAGCACACTGCCCACTAAAAAACACTAGACGAGAGATTTTGAGTGCTTCATCTTTATATTTTTAATCCTAGAATATATATTTTATTGATATTTTTGATTATTTCTTACAGCGCTATGCTATTCAAAACTGTTAAAATTTACATTTCAACATGTAAAACTTGTTTCAAATTTGGAAACCTTTAGCTACTTTTTCTGACCATTTTTTCCTCTTACTAACTCTGCAAAGCAAAGAAGGAAAATGATAGCCTAAATAATTGTTTTGTGACATTAAATGTAATACTTAATTTAAATATTATAAGGCAGGTGCAATTTGAGTTTTATATGTTAAGATTAAAGGAAGAAAATTTATTAGTTCTTGTTTTGTAAGCATTAGTCCAACTAGAAGGATTAATGGACAGATATGTTGTTTATAACCTATTGTGGTTCCTGAAACATTATAGAAAACTTGTTTGCTAAATGAATATTGATTATGTTATCGATCTTAACTAGAAAACATGAGATATTACAATGTCTAGAGAAGATAGTAACTTAAATAAGCTTCTCTGCTCTATAATAAAACATTTCCTAAATTTAGTATCTAAAAAAGAAACAAAAAATACAACAAGATAATCATAATAAAAGTCCAGAGATATTAAGGGTGAATTTTCCTCAAAATCTCTTTTAGGGGTGGGTATGATGAGTTTGTGGGACAGTGGTCAAGAAGCCACTTGGGACCTGTGCATCTCATCTGATGGGGTGTAGCTGGAGTCCTGACCACCTTGATTCAAGGTTGGTAATGTGTGACCTCAAGGGGCAGCAGGCGCATTGTTCAGGTTGTTCAGGTCCCTGGCACACGTGTGCGAGACCTGCTTTCGTGCTTAGCTCTCTTCCGTGTCCTGCCTCAGCCCTAGGCTGTTGTGGGTTT